ACATGATAGCAAATATTAATTTTCTACTTACATTATAAATCTCCACTATCTTAACCAAAAAACCAACCAAACAAAAAACCCTTTGCACACAATCCACATCATTAGGACTTTAACTCTTGAGGCTTGAGGATTCATGGCCCTAAGGCAAACGGGAGTAGTGGTTCCAGTCAATGCACAAGGAAAGGCCAAAGGCCCTAGCAGCAAGCAGGGGAGGGGAAAGGGCAAGAGAATTTATCAACGGGTATCTAAAAAAGGGCCCAAGGCTTACAGGTATGCAGTCAATAAACTTTCTACCAAGAAAAAGGGATAACACTGATCATCCTTCATTTCTCAAAACTTCCTACAAGGCTGCCCTTTCTCATTCAAAGAGATCTTTAAAGGTAATTTTTTACTTGATTTCACAGGGTTCAAGATGTTTCAGGGAGGGAGGGGATCACACGGTGTGATCTGTCCTCCCTAGAGGCGCTGCCCTGTGGGATTTTCTTTTTAATAATCCAAAATGATAATTTATTAACTTTGTATGTGTGTGCGTATGTGTATGTGTGAGGGGTGGGTAGATCTTTCCTTACCTAAAATGAAATGTCATGCTCACCATTTGGGTACCCCCTTATCAGTAAAGAGGTATCTGGAGGCCAAAATTTTTTATCAGATGGCTCCTTCATGAGCATGAAATGCAGGGATATTTTGCTAATAAATACTTAATGCGAACACTTTCAGAGTTGAACTCCTTGAGTTGAGGGTGGGGAAAAAGAGGAGAGAAGCTTTATATTTTCAAGGGATGGTCACTAAAAGGTTTTTTAAAAAGGCTACTTTATTGTTTATTATGTGTTTATGAAAAATCATTTACATAGTGATTTGTGAAGTCTATATAAATACCATAAAACTAAAAGCTTATTTCAAACATTTTTGAAATGAAAAGCTTATTTCAAACGTCATCATGTTCTAGTCTTTACAAATGATTTAATTTCAAAGTAATGGTACCAAGATGAAGGAGGATATAAGGAAACAGAATGTCTAAAAAGATTCCATTTTAATAAGTTTTATTTCTTAGTTTTGCTCTATATACACTACAAAAACAATGTCTCCTGAGGGAGACTATCAATTTGACACCCAAGAACCTGCTTACACTATTCAGGTATGGAAAATTCAAGAGTAAAATACTCTTAACCATCTAAATTAAGACTTTCTGATTGACATATCTTCCTAAATCCCATACACTAGAGTACTTAATAGAATATAGTCCCATAATTCCACCCATGTAATAGTTCCTATCTGTCAAGTAGAGCAAATTGTTGATTTGTGCTTAATAAGCCAAATACACATAAATTACCTGTAATACTATAAAACCAGGTGCTAAATTTAAGTGCTACAGAAAAGTCATTACCCTTATCAGCCAGGAGAAGCAAGGGATAACATAAGGGAACTGTAAATACTCAGAAAGGTGAATTAACTTCTCTAAACGAAGGAAAATCACTTTATCTGTAAAAAAGCCTTACGTACAACAAAAATTTCCACAAGATATTCTACCTGCTGTAAGCCAGGACAATTAAGTAAGATAAAGTTAGGCAAATGGTCAGTAATTTACCAGATACCCACTATAAGTGTTTCAAAAATTTAGAAAAGGGGTCTCAGAATTCTAACTTCCAAACTAGTCTCTTGCTATAACCATCCTAGAGTTCTCTGTTGCTATTCCATTATAAGAAAAGAAACGGAGTCAACTAATTTTACCAAGTCCACACCTAAATTACACTGCTGGTGATTATTTCCAATTATCACATGGCAAAGAAATGAAATCTTAAAGAAAGTACAACACTAACATTTCGAGATTGTCATCTTTTCTTCATTAAACAAAATGTATACACTAACCTGTTAAAGGGATAGCATATAATACTGGATTTTAGCAAACAAAATGGACAAAGGCAAGCTTATGCTGGCACATAGTCAAGCTCCTGTGAGAGCTAATCCAAATGTGGATTTGCGGTAAAGCACAGCAAAGCTCTTGGCTTCACAATTTTAAGTAAGAGCACAGTAATTGAACAGCCATGAAAATCAGCACACACTTTTGCTCTGGACCAAAAAGAACCAAACAAACCTTAAAAACATCTCTTTGCTCCTTTCTAATCCATTTTGTCTAATTTACATGGAATTATAGTGGCAGTTTACATGTAGTAATTTCAAGCATCTTTTTTCAATACCACAGGTAAAATAATCACGCAGTGATATAAATTGACCACTAAGTCAATAGGGCTATCACTAGTCACAACATATATGTGTGGTAAAAATCTTGGTTTATTTTATTAGACAAATTTCCTCTTATTCTAGAGATAGGGGGACTTGTAAATGGGGGAGCGGGTGGGCTAGAGATAAGAAACTGGTGCAATTGGTCCATGCTTTAAGAAAGCATGTCAAATGAAAAATCAAACACACAAAACAAGGAGTTATTGTTTAAAGGAAACTTGCAATAAGTAAAAAAAATCATTTAATACTACTTCATAGTGATTTGATTCACCTTTTTATTTTTCAAGAACACAGTTGTACGAAGTGAAATACACTTCTCTGGTAAATGTGGGCAGAAGCATCAGTAAAAATTCTGGTCAGGGCTGGGCGCGGTGGCTCA